TGTACCCAGAAGACAATGGTTCAGCCCCAAACCAGAACATCAGCAAGACTCCATTCTAAGACCTGCAAAATGACCCAAGTGCCATGACACCCAACAACCAACCTGAACTGCACTTAGCCCAACAAGAAGACCACAATGTGCACACCCTGGAGTCATATGCCACTGCCCCCCGCCCCCAGCTTTAACTAGGCAGAAAGGAGAGCAGTAAAGAGAGCATATTGCTGAGTGCATTAGTGCAAGCACTTTGCTCATGTCTTCATCCAAAATTAACCACAAAGAACAGGGCAGGATGCAGTGTTGGACATAGCTGTCAACTTTTCCTTTTTCTTGCGAGGAATCCTATTTGGAATAAGGGAATTTCCCTTTAAAAAAGGGGAAAGTTGACAGCTATGGGTGTTGGATAATTCACAAGACCTCTCTAAGGCCCTTTTCACCTGGCCCAGGGGGCAGAGCCCACACTCTCCAGCCCCACTGAAGAGGCTCCTCATGAGGCTGGAGGAACATCGCCCGGCTGTGGGGTGTGAAGGCCGCTCCCTGCAAGGCCCTTTCCACCTGGCCTAGGGGGCAGACCCCACACTCACCAGCCCCACTGAAGAGGCTCCTCATGAGGCCGGAGGAACATTGCCCGGCTGTGGGGCATGAAGGCCGCTCCCTGCAAGGCCCTTTCCACCTGGCCATGGGGCAGGGGCCACACTCACCAGCCCCACTGAAGAGGCTCCTCATGAGGCCGGAGGAACATCGCCCGGCTGTGGGGCATGAAGGCCGCTCCCTGCAAGGCCCTTTCCACCTGGCCTAGGGGGCAGGGCCCACACTCACCAGCCCCACTGAAGAGGCTCCTCATGAGGCCGGAGGAACATCGCCCGGCTGTGGGGTGTGAAGGCCGCTCCCTGCAAGGCCCTTTCCACCTGGCCTAGGGGGCAGGGCCCACACTCACCAGCCCCACTGAAGAGGCTCCTCATGAGGCTGGAGGAACATCGCCCGGCTGTGGGGTGTGAAGGCCGCTCCCTGCAAGGCCCTTTCCACCTGGCCTAGGGGGCAGACCCCACACTCACCAGCCCCACTGAAGAGGCTCCTCATGAGGCCGGAGGAACATTGCCCGGCTGTGGGGCATGAAGGCCGCTCCCTGCAAGGCCCTTTCCACCTGGCCATGGGGCAGGGGCCACACTCACCAGCCCCACTGAAGAGGCTCCTCATGAGGCCGGAGGAACATCGCCCGGCTGTGGGGCATGAAGGCCGCTCCCTGCAAGGCCCTTTCCACCTGGCCTAGGGGGCAGGGCCCACACTCACCAGCCCCACTGAAGAGGCTCCTCATGAGGCCGGAGGAACATCGCCCGGCTGTGGGGTGAGGAGGCCGCTCCCTACAAGGCCCTTTCCACCTGGCCTAGGGGGCAGGGCCCACACTCACCAGCCCCACTGAAGAGGCTCCTCATGAGGCCGGAGGAACATCGCCCGGCTGTGGGGTGAGGAGGCCGCTCCCTACAAGGCCCTTTCCACCTGGCCTATGGGGCAGGATCCACACTCACCAGCCCCACTGAAGAGGCTCCTCATGAGGCCAGAGGAACATCGCCCGGCTGTGGGGCCTGGAGTCCACTCCCTGCAAGGCCCTTTCCACCTGGCCTAGGGGGCGAGGCCCACACTCACCAGCCCCACTGAAGAGGCTCCTCATGAGGCCGGAGGGACATCACCCGGCTGTGGGGCCTGGAGGCCGCTCCCTGCAAGGCCCTTTCCACCTGGCCTAGGAGGCGAGGCCCACACTCACCAGCCCCACTGAAGAGGCTCCTCATGAGGCCAGAGTGACATTGCCCGGCTGTGGGGCCTGGAGGCCGCTCCCTGCAAGGCCCTTTCCACCTGGCCTAGGGGGCGAGGCCCACACTCACCAGCCCCACTGAAGAGGCTCCTCATGAGGCCGGAGGAACATCACCCGGCTGTGGGGCCTGGAGGCCGCTCCCTGCAAGGCCCTTTCCACCTGGCCTAGGGGGCAGGGCCCACACTCTCCAGCCCCACTGAAGAGGCTCCTCATGAGGCCGGAGGAACATCGCCCGGCTGTGGGGCGTGAAGGCCGCTCCCTGCAAGGCCCTTTCCACCTGGCCTAGGGGGCAGGGCCCACACTCACCAGCCCCACTGAAGAGGCTCCTCATGAGGCCGGAGGAACATTGCCCGGCTGTGGGGTGAGGAGGCCGCTCCCTGCAAGGCCCTTTCCACCTGGCCTATGGGGCAGGGCCCACACTCACCAGCCCCACTGAAGAGGCTCCTCATGAGGCCGGAGGAACATTGCCTGACTGTGAGGCATGAAGGCCGCTCCCTGCAAGGCCCTTTCCACCTGGCCTATGGGGCAGGGCCCACACGCACCAGCCCCACTGAAGAGGCTCCTCATGAGGCCGGAGGAACATCGCCCGGCTGTGGGGCATGAAGGCCGCTCCCTGCAAGGCCCTTTCCACCTGGCCTAGGGGGCAGGGCCCACACTCACCAGCCCCACTGAAGAGGCTCCTCATGAGGCCGGAGGAACATTGCCTGACTGTGAGGCATGAAGGCCGCTCCCTGCAAGGCCCTTTCCACCTGGCCTATGGGGCAGGGCCCACACGCACCAGCCCCACTGAAGAGGCTCCTCATGAGGCCGGAGGAACATCGCCCGGCTGTGGGGCATGAAGGCCGCTCCCTGCAAGGCCCTTTCCACCTGGCCTAGGGGGCAGAGCCCACACTCTCCAGCCCCACTGAAGAGGCTCCTCATGAGGCCGGAGGAACATCGCCCGGCTGTGGGGTGTGAAGGCCGCTCCCTGCAAGGCCCTTTCCACCTGGCCTAGGGGGCAGGGCCCACACTCACCAGCCCCACTGAAGAGGCTCCTCATGAGGCCGGAGGAACATTGCCCGGCTGTGGGGTGAGGAGGCCGCTCCCTGCAAGGCCCTTTCCACCTGGCCTATGGGGCAGGGCCCACACTCACCAGCCCCACTGAAGAGGCTCCTCATGAGGCCGGAGGAACATTGCCTGACTGTGAGGCATGAAGGCCGCTCCCTGCAAGGCCCTTTCCACCTGGCCTATGGGGCAGGGCCCACACGCACCAGCCCCACTGAAGAGGCTCCTCATGAGGCCGGAGGAACATCGCCCGGCTGTGGGGCATGAAGGCCGCTCCCTGCAAGGCCCTTTCCACCTGGCCTAGGGGGCAGGGCCCACACTCACCAGCCCCACTGAAGAGGCTCCTCATGAGGCCGGAGGAACATTGCCCGGCTGTGGGGTGTGAAGGCCGCTCCCTGCAAGGCCCTTTCCACCTGGCCTAGGGGGCAGGGCCCACACTCACCAGCCCCACTGAAGAGGCTCCTCATGAGGCCGGAGGAACATCGCCCGGCTGTGGGGTGAGGAGGCCGCTCCCTGCAAGGCCCTTTCCACCTGGCCTATGGGGCAGGGCCCACACTCACCCAGCCCCACTGAAGAGGCTCCTCATGAGGCCGGAGGAACATTGCCTGACTGTGAGGCATGAAGGCCGCTCCCTGCAAGGCCATTTCCACCTGGCCTATGGGGCAGGGCCCACACGCACCAGCCCCACTGAAGAGGCTCCTCATGAGGCCGGAGGAACATCGCCCGGCTGTGGGGCATGAAGGCCGCTCCCTGCAAGGCCCTTTCCACCTGGCCTAGGGGGCAGGGCCCACACTCACCAGCCCCACTGAAGAGGCTCCTCATGAGGCCGGAGGAACATTGCCTGGCTGTGGGGCATGAAGGCCGCTCCCTGCAAGGCCCTTTCCACCTGGCCTATGGGGTGAGGCCCACACTCACCAGCCCCACTGAAGAGGCTCCTCATGAGGCCTGTGGAACATCGCCCGGCTGTGGGGCATGAAGGCTGCTCCACGCAAGGCCCTTTCCACCTGGCCTAGGGGGCAGACCCCACACTCACCAGCCCCACTGAAGAGGCTCCTCATGAGGCCGGAGGAACATCGCCCGGCTGTGGGGCATGAAGGCTGCTCCACGCAAGGCCCTTTCCACCTGGCCATGGGGCAGGGCCCAGACTCACCAGACCTACTATGTTAAATATGTATTCTGTAGTTGACCTCCTTTATAATGTTTTATTCTGAAATCTTTAAGATAATATTTTACTTTTCTGTCACGTTGCTCTGACTGTATACTCTATATTTTACTTTCTTCAGATTGTTTTATTTATGTTTTATTGATTCAATATGCTGTAAACCGCTTTGATATTTTCTTAAAAATGTAAAGCGGTATAGAAATTTTAAAAAGAAATAATATATAAACAATGTCACATCAAAGTAAGTGCAGAGGCAAGCAATTTTATCCTCAGTACTAATTGATATAAGAATTAAAGACCCCAGGTGTATATATTTTATTTAAATAATGTTTCAGTGTTTCATATTAATTGCATTTACCCTTTTAAAATGTATGAGGCTTGATTTCTGTAAGTTCTGCATTTGTGAGTCTCTCTTTATCTGACCCTGGAAGCAGCAGAAATGTCCGGATGTTTTCCTATGAGTTAGTACCAGGGTGTTAAGCAGAAATCCTTGGCAGTTTCCTGAAAGATTGATGGAGGAGTGTTATTAAAGACTGATCATAGACTAGGTGGCCAGAGCAAAGTGGGACATTCAATACCTAAAAACAGCAAAAGGCCTAGGCACTTCTGGTCAACCCCAAGGTGATAGTGGAGAAAGTGGAGAGTAGGAAGACACTATACATGTTTTGTATCCCATGGCTTGTAACTTTCCTGACATATGAGAAGATGTTTGGTGACTCTTTGTTTGCTGTGTTTGAACTACAATATAAGCTTTTGTTCTGAAGCGCCTCGGGACAGACCTTCTCAACTAGCGCCTTGGGTTGAGCTCTGTCCTATTGCAATAGATAAATAAAATACAAACGTACCTTGGAAGTCGATTGGAATCTGTTCCGGAAGTCTGTTCGACTTCCAAATCATTCAGAAACCAAAGTGCGGCTTCTGATTGGCTGCAGGAAATTCCTGAAGCCATGGAAGCCCCATCGGATGTTCAGCTTCGAAAAGCACTTTTGAAAACCAGAACACTCATTTTCGGGTTTTGATCCTTTGGGAGCTGATTTGTTTGGGAGCCAAGGCGTTTGAGATCCAAGGTACAACTAAATAAAAACACTGGGTCTCTAAATCTGGATGGTGGACTTGAAATAATTTCCTTGGTTCTGTGGTTTATTTAAAAGGTGGTCCCACACCTGGGTAACAAACAGAAGTGGTGCAGAGGTGAATTCTTAGCACACAAGCAATAGAATCACAACACCTCTCTTAAGATCTCCAGAGCACAGTTTATCAGATCAATGCTCAGCAGATTACAGACCACCCAGAATGCTAGAATGTGGCCCGTCACAAGTTATAGGGAAACAGCCTTTTTATAGAGTTGAATAGCTGTTTGAGATCTCACTGACCTAAATTATCCAAACCTTTCAGATTCTGAAATACTAGCTGAAGCTGAGAAGTTAGCAGGTGAATTGCTTATATGGGCTGACAGAGCAAATGAAGTCGAGTCTGCAATCAGTAAGTTATTCTTAAGATGATGATGTTGAGGGTATAATGTTCTGTACCTCCTCCATTGAAGAATTTATCTGCAAGCAAAATCATAGAATTGTAGAGTTGGAAGGAAATCCCAAGCGTAATCTAGTCCAACCCGCTGCTATGCAAGAATCTCATCTAAAGCATCTCATCTAAATATGTGTCAAATAAACCATACTTCTTAAGTACTCACCTCCACTATTCCTCAATTTTCTCAATGGAAACACAACCCTGGGCAAGCATATGCAACCTCCCTGAATCTTGCTACTACTCGGCAGAGATTGGGCGTGCCACACAATCTTCATAGCATTACCAATCTGTTGATGAATGCAAACATTGGAATGGGAAGGAAAAGGAGGACAAATGACCTGGCTTTAAATGTGTCCTTTAAGAATAATAATAATAATAATAATAATAATAATAATAATAATAATAATTTATTATTTATACCCCGCCCATCTGGCTGGGCTTCCCCAGCCACTCTGGGCGGCTTCCAAAAAAAATATTAAAATATTGTAATACATCAAACATTAAAAGCTTCCCTAAACAGGGATGCCTTCAGATGATCTTTATTAGAACAAACCTTTCAGAATGTTAGCTACCATGTCTTTTGCTGGATTGAAATGAAATATCAGTATGTAATTCATAATGACTTTATTTAAAATACAGTGGTACCTCGGTTTACAAACTTAATCGGTTCTGGAAGTCCAAAAACCATTCTTAAACCGAGGTGCGCTTTCCCTAATGAAGCCTCCCACCACCAGTGCCCTTCTACCGTTTGGATTCCGTTCTTTGACCAAGTTAAAGTTCTCAAACCAGGACACTACTTCCGTTTTTGTGGAGTTTGTAAACCAAATCGTTCTTAAACCAGACTGTTCTTAAACTGAGGTACCACTGTAATAATAATAATAAAATCTGTAAGACCTTCAGTCCATCTAAAACTGTTGTCGTTTTTTCCTCTCTCTCTCCGCCCTCCCCCCCTTCCCAATTTCTGGCTGGATTCAAAGATGACCTCACTTCAAATCATCCTCAAAAGTGGCAGATATATAAAGAGGCTCTCTATTTATTTGATGAAGGACTAGTAGACTGGAGTCAGGCAGACAGCTTTTGTGAGAGTCAAAAATCCAAACTGGTTATTATTGAAAATGAAAAAGAGGAGGTAAGCTAGCTGAACACTGTATATAGAAATGGCATGAATAAACCTTTGCAATTTGATGGTTTTAAGCCTTCCTGGGCAAGATACTTTGGCCATAGCTGCAGTATACATTTAAAGCATGACAGTCACGGCATCCCCCAAAGGATCCTGGGAAGTTTGTTAAAGATACTGAGAGCTTTTTAGCAGACCTCCTATTCCCCTCACAGTGTTACAATTCCCAGAGTTCTGTGGGAAGTGGGATGGATAGATAACCCACTTTGGAATCTGAGGGGGAAGAGAGCCCTCCTAACAACTAACAACTCTCAGCACCAAACAAGAAATTACAGCTCCTAACTTCCTGTTCTAGTCTGTGCCAATAGTGGCGTCTCTCCCATTCGTGAGAATGACTCTGGCACAGGGGAGGAGGGTAACCTGAGGCTGAATTGCCTCCCGTACTTCCTTGGGGGATATAAAGGAGAAAAGATACCCACGGTCATCTCCTGAACCCGTTCCTGCCTCCATGGAAGCAGAGGTGTGTGAGGTGCTGGGTGCTAAGCCCTCTGCAATTGAAGCAGTCTCTAAGTCCACTGTGCCTTTTCCCCTCCTAAACTGAAGGGATTCAAAGAAGATGAAGATGTGACGCAGATTGAAATTTGGACTCTTGGATTGTGTTGGTGTTATCCTGCGTAGTGAGTGATGTAGCAGAACAGATTCCCTTCAATATAGCAGGAAGCTAGTTTGCAGATTTGTTTGAATCTGAAATATACTCAGAGTCGAGAGTGGATTTCATGCTCTTTATTCAGCTCATAGTGGTGAGGAGGAATGAAAGTTTCCCCAAAGTATCTGCTTTATATGCATTATTTACACAATAGGCCCCACGTGATTGGCTAATTCCGGAATTCTCCTGTAGGCCAATCAGGTTGTGGATTCACTTCCATCTGGAGCTGGATTGGGTGGCTCCTGCAGACCAATCATACTCCTGCATTGTTCTAGGACCAATCAGACTGCTGCATTTTGGATCCTATTGTTCTAGGACCAATCAGACTGCTGCATTTTGGATCCTATTCAACTCAGTACATACTTTAGTTAAGTAATCCAAACTGGCTTGCCTAGATGGGTTATTCCTGGTGTCCCCTTTTATCCCTCTTAGAAGAATAAAGAAACAAGTCTTTCCTTTCGAAATAACAAGAGGTTTACTCACATTTCAGTTCACGATTTGATCCCTGAAAGGCAAGCTTTACTTCAGTAGTTACATAACAATCTGTGAGTCCATCTCGCATGGAGATTGAGCTCATGTGCTGCTGGCTGAAAGCCAGCAGACAGCAAAATTTACATTACATGGCTGCATGAGAGCAGCAAGCAAGAGATCGGCAAGAGAGATAGGATGGCTGCATGACTGCTCTTTTATGGAGTCAGCCAGGGCCATGCCCATCTCCCAGGTCACATCCAGGGGGAGGATGCTCCAGACCAGCGGAACAGGAAGTTACACTGACTGGATGTCCCCCTGCCTGTGCCCACGCTATGGAAATAAGAATATTGCATTTGACTGCACCAGTGGGTTACATCCCACAGAGCAGACAATAAGAACTTAGTGAACTCCAAGTGATCCAACTTGATAGAGGAAGCCTTGTTGCACATGCTAACAGCAAACCCCACCGGTGAGTTTGGACAGGACATTCCTGCATTGCAGGGGGCTAGACCTTTGGGGTCCCTTCCAACTCTACAATTCTGGGATTCTGGGCTAGAAAGGAGCAGATTTCTAGAAGAACTTGGATTTCTATTGGTGGGATATATCCATTTGAGAATCTCGGATTGGGGGAGAGGCTATAATATGGATTTGAACTGTGAAATATCTAGGAGAATGTGGTTAGTGTCGTCGTCCTCCCACTCCCCCCCCCAAAAAAAATAATAATAATAATATGGGCTGGTTGCTATGATCTTACTGGTGGGAAATTACACCAAGCAAGATGGTTGACCTTGGAGTTTCTATCTTAAAGAAAAAGACTTCAGATTACATGTGACGTGGGACAGAGGAGCTGAGCAGCAAGAAGACTAATTATTGGACTGGATTGCTGTGTTTCTATATATGCATATGGAAGGAGAGGAAGTCTTATTTTAATTAACATTAATTAATGATTTAGTAAGGACTGAGAATCTGATAAGTGACCCCACTTGTCAAAACTGGAAATGTTAAATAATGTATGTGCAGGAATTGATTGATGGAGAGCTGTTTGAAAAGTAAAAATATTGCATTTTGTAAGGTTATTTGTAAAGTCTGAAGATAAACTAGAAGTAATCGGGAAATATGATGCAGCATGAAGGAGAATCATTAAAACGTCTAGGAAGGCTTATGGGAAGTCAGATTTGGGAAAATGTTAAATTTGTTTTAATTAGTGACTAATTTGTAAAGAATGGGACGCGGGTGGTGCTGTGGGTAAAACCTCAGCGTCTAGGACTTGCCGATCGCATGGTCGGCGGTTCGAATCCCCGCTGCAGGGTGCGCTCCCGTTGCTCGGTCCCAGCGCCTGCCAACCTAGCAGTTCGAAAGCACCCCCGGGTGCAAGTAGATAAATAGGGACCGCTTACCAGCGGGAAGGTAAACGGCATTCCGTGTGTGCTGCGCTGGCTCACCAGATGCAGCTTGTCACGCTGGCCACGTGACCCAGAAGTGTCTCCGGACAGCGCTGGCCCCCGGCCTATAGAGTGAGATGGGCGCACAACCCTAGAGTCTGTCAAGACTGGCCCGTACGGGCAGGGGTACCTTTACCTTTTAATTTGTAAAGAAAAAATGAAAATCAATAAAAAAAATATTTGCCCCCCCAAAAAAAAAACAACCCTACAGTTCCCAGGATGCTTTGGAGGAAGCATTGAGTGGTATGATACTTCACAGTGCAGATGGGGCCACAGTCTGGGGATGACCTGAGAGCCTCTCATTCCTAGGAAAGACTTTCTGATTGTGCTTTTAGCAGGAGTTCCTGGAAAATGCAATTAAAGACGAACAGCATGACTTCTGGATTGGGCTCCGTCATTTCGTTGGATGGAAATGGATAGATAACACTTTCCCACCACGATAGTGAGTCTGGAAGCAACGTTTCTCTGTTTATTATATTGTAGAAACTTTGTTAAGAATTCATTTTTTGTTCTTCACTGAAAGCTCTTCCTGTCCTTTGTCTGCATCTAGAACCCAGCACAGTATTTTATTTCCATTGCATTTTATGTTCCATGTCAGAAAGGCAGTTTTGTAGGGTGGAAGCAATATTATATTGTCCAGCTTCATCAGAAATGATAATGCTGCGTAGTTTGACGGGGCCTGATGGTAGTTTCATGCTCAACAATGAAGGGCTTCTACATTGAGACAAGAAATCACCCCACATGGCGGGGGCTGGTCCAGTAGGGCGAATGTGCCTCACCAACCTCAGTCTGTCCTCAGCCTTCTTATACCTACAACCAATCTTGGGTGGAGTGGAGGTGGTTCTTCCAGTCGTTGCTTCCACATATGGTTTGTCTCCTTGCCTTCCACTCTGCCACTACTTATGGGCACCAGCCACCTAGGACTCCACATAGCCAAATGCCCCCCTCACCCTTGCCTTATCACAGTCTCTCTCCACCCTCACCATGTAGATGGACACTGTAGTCCTTCAAATCACCCCAGTTCTTCTTCTTCTTCTTCTGCGATCTCTTGTAGCTGTGTAAGATTGTCTTCCATGGACACAGTCTTAACAGTGAGTCCGTAAGTGGATCCACACGTCCTTCCTCAGTGAGGACATAGGTTGATCACGGTGAGGATTCGCCAAATGTGCCTTCCTCTTAGCATGTTTCTCCCTTTTGTCCTGAGTTTCAGTGTCTTCAAAGTGCATGACACCTTTAGTAAAGGCTGTTCAACTGGAGTGCTCACAAGCCAGCGATTCCCAATTGTCGGTGTTTATACTACATTCTTTAATATTTGCCTTGAGAGAGTCTTTAAACCTCTGTTGTTGGCCACCGGCATTACACTTTCCATTTTTAAATTCAGAATAAAGTAGTTACGTTGGAAGACGATAATCAGGCATCCGAACAGCATGACCAGTCCATGACTAGAGCAGGGTGGCGACAGCATGTCCCCTTTGCCTCCCCCTCAGTTTTGATCCTCTCCATTTTTTGGAAGACCAAGCAATGCTTTTTGACCTCACCTTGTTAAAATATGATAGTTTGCCTCTTTGAACAGAGACGAAAACATAAGTGTGAGGAATTCTACTGCTTCTTAAATGTTTGCTAAAGTGTAGGAATGCAGGTACACAAGGCTTGCTTTGTTCCATAGTATCATTCAGTGGTTATTGTTGCTTTCTACCACCATCGTCCCAGTTAATTAGCTCTGGCACTACAGAATGAAGAATCTACTGGAACCGCAAGGTCCTATGTCCACTCAGAACTAATGAGTGTGGAGAAAGAGGATAGAGAAAAGGTTTTCTCCTACTCTCATAACACTAGAAGTCATCTTCCTTAAAATCCATGTTTCCCAAAGTGTGCGATACTGCCCCCCTGGGGGGCACTGGAACAATCCAAGGGGGCGTTGAATAAAAATAAGTGGGGTGGAAGAGAAGAGAAGATTCATCTGTTATGTAATGATGCTTACTGCCAGGTAGGGCTCCGTTGTGGGTTGGCAGCAAAAGTTCCCCTGGATCTGGCAAGTGCACTGGAGGGGAGAGGTTTTCACAGGCTAAGGTGAACTTTTGGGCTTCACCCACACCCAGGAAGTGGATCGCAGACTGCCTGCCTATTTGGCCCATGACAGGCAGGATGCGGCACCGGCTCCGCCCCTGGGATAGAACGGACTGAGCCGGCAGTCTTAACTCTGGTCCGCTCCATGGAATTTTAATATTTCTTTATTAGGTTGTAGGATATAGGTAGAAACAGGGCTTTTTCAGGGGGAACTCACAGGAACTCAGTTCTGGGACTTCTCAGGTGGGTTCCAGAAGCTCTCAGGTGAGTTCTGGAACCTCCCAGGTGGGTGCAGTTCAAAGAGAAAGAGGGAGGCATTCATGGTGAGTTCCGGCATCTTTTTTTCTAGAAAAATAGCACTGGGTAGAAATACAGACACATAAAAGAATGCAAATTTTTCACTGCATCTTTTATTTGTTTGCTTAAAAAAGGTTGGTTCCTGGGGGGGTGCTGAGTATTTTTATTTTTTTTCTGAAAGGAGGTGGTAGGCCACATAGGTTTGGGAGCCTCTGCTTTAAAGCCTTCCATGTTGGTGGCCATCACCACCTCCTGTTGAAGTGAGTTCCACAGGTTAACTCCATGCTGTGTGAAGAAGCCTTTTCTTTTTTCAGACCAGCTTCATTTAATGCCCTGGAATCTGAGGATTCTGAGAGGGGGAGATCTCTTAATGCTGAAATAAAGTACACACCCCATGTTGATGGATAGGGACACCAAGCCAGATGTATGGAGTATAAATAAATTAATAACAATAACAACAACAACAACAACAATAATAATAATTTGCTTCTCACTGACTCATTGATTTGTGCTTCCTTTTCTTTTCAGTTACTGGGCAGTCGGTAAGCCAGACAACCACCTTTATAAACCAGTCGGTGCAATAAAAGCAAAGTGTGCAACACCACTGCGATGTTGGGAGAACTTTCCCCGTCTTGATCAAAAAAGAAGCATATGTAAGAAGAAGCCTGATAAACGATGGTTCAATTAAAACTCTTCATGGGCAATGAATCGACCCACCTTTAATAGAAGCCATGGTCAATGATCCAAATTATGGAATTAAGGGCATGGAAGAGATCAGGTCTTTGACACCAGCACTCAAAAGCCTTTTGTCAATCCTGCATCCTCAGGTGACCTGATTTTGCAACCTCAGATAATGGAAACTCCTGGAAAATAAAGCAAGGAGGACTCAGTCGTAGCCCACGTCCTGTTGCAATAATTAATCCAATACATCCTTTCCCAACTCAGTGCCTTCTAGGTGCCATCAGCCCTAACCAACAGGTTGCATTGGAGGGCACCAAGTGGAGGAAGATTGATTTAGTATACCTGCTAGAGGGGAACATTTTACCAGATTGGGGGGGGAGGGGAACATAACACTCTTCTTAGGGATGACTCCCCCTATTGGCAACAGGAAGGGTCTTCGTGGCCTCTCTAGGGGAGGAGTCGCCCCACTTCCCCCAGACCAACTCTGCCTGCAGTCAGAGCAGTGGTGTCTCTCTCCTCTTTATTTCTGAGAGAATTGGTCTTCCTGTGAGTGTGACAGTTTCCATTGTCTTGTTCTATATTACGACTTCCAGACGTCTGTTGGCTTATAACCTGCCAGGCATGGGCCCGCTATCAGTTAGTAATTCACCACACTTCGACCAGTGGGGTCAACAGTGAATCCACAGCTCCAGCAGTCTTCCAGCTGAACTTCAGAGTTTTCCTGCTTTCCAGTAGTCATCTTTTTCCAGAGTTCCTGGTTAAGAAAAACCTCTGTCCCACTCAGTTCAGTTCTAAGTTTAAGTATAAAGTGTTTATTGTCTCACAAGACAAAGATAAATGTACTAACTACTGTAATACAGTTCTTCTGGTCTTAGAAGTAAAGAAACAAATATACAGAGATATCCACCAGCTCTTTACCATGCTAGCTCACACTACGCTGTGTAAAACCCACCAAACACAGTTGCTCACAGACTCTCGCCTTGTTGCCCCCAGATTACAGAATGCAATGCAGACTTGACTTCTATACCAGTTTCTGCTCATATGCACATTCCTGAGAAAAAGTGAGGTTGGATAAATCAGCAAGCCTGACTTTCAGTGTTGTACTGTTGCTAGGCAACCCTGTGCACCTGGCATCCTATCTCTAAACAAGATATTGAGATCCAAACAAGCAATTTCACTCCTTTTTCCAATTACACCTTGTTTGCTTAACTTCTTTGAACGTCTGGATTAGTCCCATAGTGTTCTCCTGTCCTTAAGAGTTGTTTTGGTCCATCTCCTGTGTCTTCTCCTCTTCCCTTCTGTGGTTTCCACCATTTTGTGCTTTGAAAAATGTAAAAAAAAATCCTCATGTGTATTCCTCCCTATCATCTTGAATATGACTGAGGAGGGAGTATGGGGGTATTAGTGTGAGCCCAGCAGGGCTGTGGAGTTCCAGAGAGGCTCACTTAAGTGTGATCAGGCCAGGGACTTCCCACTTCTCTCACACAGAGCAGGAACACTTTGTTTTCTATACAAAAAAAGTTTCAGAAGGTAGGTAGGAGGCTTCCTTCTCCTGACTCGGAATCAAGTCTGCTTTCACGTCCAGTGGGGGTGAGGCTGTTGGCTTTCACACACCGTTGGAAGGATGTCAGCTCAGACAGGTAGGTGATGGAGACAGTAACACAGGGATATGCTCTAGAGTTTGCATCTCATCCTTGAGGCATTTTTGTCCCAACACCTTGTTCCCAGGTTCTGGAGACGCACCAGAATTTTTGGTGGCTATAAATCATCTCCTGGAAGTGTGTGTGTGTGAAGTGAGAACTGGACCAATAAAGAGGGCTGATCACCGAAGAATGAATTATGGTGCTGGAGGATACTCTTGAGAGTCCCATGGACTGCAAGAAGATCAAACCTCTCCATTCTGAAGGAAATCAGCCCTGAGTGCTCACTGGAAGGACAGATCCTGAAGCTGAGGCTCCAAGACTTTGGCCACCTCAGGAGAAGAGAAGACTCCCTGGAAAAGACCCTGATGTTGGGAAAGATGGAGGGCACAAGGAGAAGGGGACAACAGAGGACGAGCTGGTTGGACAGTGTTCTCGAAGCTACCAGCATAAGTTTGACCAAACTACGGGAGGCAGTGGAAGACAGGAGTGCCTGGCGTGCTCTGGTCCATGGGGTCACAAACAGTTGGACAAGACTAAACAACAACAAATACACAGACACACACACATATATATTCTTTATATAATTAATTTTACAACATACCAAAATTTTAAAAAGAAAAACTTGGAAAGCAAACAATGTATCATATATATATATTTTCGGCTCCCCTCCCCACTCTTTCTGCAGTTCCTTGCTTTTATAATATTTTACTGCATCATCTATTGGAAAACAGAACCATCAAACCAGTTGGTCCTTAACAGAGGAAATAAGGGGTCTATTCGATATTCAAAATATTCACTCCAGAATGACATCCAAATGATCTTTTTCTGTTAGGCAATATTTTCCCAGTCTTCCAGCCCAGCTATAAGGCTTCTAGCAAATATGTAAACTAAGTATTTTCCCAGAAGAAGAAGAAGAGTTTGGATTTGATATCCCGCTTTATCACTACCCTAAGGAGTCTCAAAGCGGCTGACATTCTCCTTTCCCTTCCTCCCCCACAACAAACACGCTGTGAGGTGAGTGGGGCTGAGAGACTTCAGAGAAGTGTGACTGGCCCAAGGTCACCCAGCAGCTGCATGTGGAGAAGCGGGGAATCAAACCTGGTTCACCAGATTACGAGTCCACTGCTCTTAACCACTACACCACGCTGGCTGCTCTATGTGGAATGCTGATTGGCTGGCTGCCAGTCCCAGTTAGGGAGCAGCAGAAGCTGAATGGGAAGAGTTCTAGAATGTTCTGCATCAAAGTAGGAGGTGGTTGGAGCTGTTGAAGGAAGGAACATCTGTATGCAGGAAGAAGCTGAGGCCAAGAGAAGATCAGCTGATGGGAGCACCACGGTATCCAAATAGGGGCAGAATTGGGTGGGGGATGTTATTCGTATGAAACTGCCTTGTACTTAAGGATGGGTAGATTAGTCGGTTTCTCATCCATGTCACTTTCACATGTGTTTAATATGTGTTTATTCATAAGTCCATTCCATCCCATTTCTATGCTGAGGTGTGAATTTTGACAAGAAAGAAAATTCGGTATGAAAAATTGTATTCAAATATGAGTTTTAAACACCAACTAAGTGTTTAGATATATATCTTATTTCGGCATACACGTTTCTGAATGTATTTATCACAAAGTACACAAGTGTGTGTGTTGTTGTTGTTTAAAAAATGCATTTGTATTTAATTTGAGCCAAGGACTATATCACAAAATTTGGAAATGCGAAAAACCCAAATGATAATTACATTTCGAGCTGCTTATTTGTTCAGGAGGTGCAAATTAGGTTGGTCTGCTTAAGAAGGCAGACAGAACAAAATTCTCTGTCCCTCTTTTCACTGAGTCAGAGAATTCCCTGCCTTGCCCAGTGCTGCGTCATCTGACATGGTGACCCATACTTCAAAATCTCAGGCATTGCTTTGCTGCTGCTGCTGGAGATCCCAGAGGCTTTCTGGGTGCAAATGCTGTGTTAACTATGCTCCACAAAACTCCAGCCAGCCTATCATACAAACAGGAGCATAATAATGAACTCTATGAGTGCTCCTTAAGTACTCCATTCGTCTTAATGTAGCCTTCATCAACCAGGTCTGTTCCAGGTGGTTTTGGATTATAATTCCCAACAGCCCCAGCCAAAATAGCCATTAGGAGGAGACTCTTGAGAGTCCCATGGACTGCAAGAAGATCAAACCTATCCATTCTGAAGGAAATCAGCCCTGAGTGCTCACTGGAAGGACAGATCCTGAAGCTGAGGCTCCAATACTTTGGCCACCTCATGAGAAGAGAAGACTCCCTGGAAAAGACCCTAATGTTGGGAAAGATGGAGGGCACAAGGAGAAGGGGACAACAGAGATGGTGGGACAGTGTTCTCGAAGCTACCACCATGAGTTTGACCAAACTGCAGGAGGCAGTGGAAGACAGGAGTACCTGGCGTGCTCTGGTCCAGGGGCTCACGAAGAGTCGGACATGACTAAATGACTAAACAACAACAACAGGTTTGTGAATGATGTCTTTGAGTTACAGTTTAAGCAGTCTACAAACCTATTTATGTATGCTACAACAGCAGCAAGAGTCTTGTTAGCACAAGGATGGAAGAATGAGGAAGTCCCGACGAAAAAACAATGGCAAGAAAAACTGATGAGCTATGCAAAGTTGGCAAAGTTGACATAGAAACTGTGTGAGGACAATCGTGATTTCAAGGAAGAATAGGAACTATTTACAAACTATTTAAGAAGACCACAAAAGGATTTGGACTCCTTTGGCAGGTTTTGAATAAACATCCACAAATTCATTAGTAGAACATATGACAGATAAGGCAATGATATGTACAATTTTATAACATGCAGAGAATAATATGTATAAACAAATCAGAGAGAGGAGCCGAGGGAAGTCTTTGGAGGGTGGGAGTGGGAGGGAAGGGGGAAATGGGAAAATGTAATTGGATATATTGATTTATAAATTGATTTGCTAAAAGTGATGATAATAATAATAAAAATATTTAAAAAAACAAAGTCCATTATATATTTCCGTAGAGAACAATCCAGGTGGAGAAGCCAGTGAAAATGAATAGACAAAATGAAGAAGAGCAGTAGTCTCCCATCAGGAGGTAAGTTGTTTCTAATTTTATTTTCAGTTCACAGGAATACAAACCATATTTTTATATTTGGAGCAAGGCCCAGGGGCCTCCATTCTGTCTGTTTTCCCTGCTTGCTTCTCTTTAACTGGAGAGAGGATGTGAGAGACACAGCTACTCCCAGTTTGGGCTTCTTTCTCCATTTAAGAATTAGGGATGGGGAGAAACTCAGCTCAGTTCACATTTACAGGTGTACTTATCTGATTCCCAATGTCCAGAACAACATGCAAACTGAAACAGAGCCATACTCTGAAACTCACACTTCTCCAAATTTGTGTTTGTCCAGCCAAGCAATTTGTGTTTGTCCAGCCAAGCAATGTTTATTTAAAAACACACACACATGTATTAGCAGTAGGTGTGCATAAAAATGCATGCATTGATAAAAATAACATACAAAGGAAATTCCTTTGCAAATTTGTAGATTAGGCAAATTGCAATAAAATATGTGCATATTAAGAGAAATTCGCACTAAAACACTGGCGAATTTTCATTAGAATGTGTTTTTTTAAAAAAATAATCACAATCTAGTCTGGAAATGTGGAGAACTGAATTAAGGATTGGAAAAAATGAGAAACTGACATCTTTGCCCATCCCCAATGAGCAAAAAATCTTACCTGGTCTTCTGCAAGCCCTCTGCTTCCTCTTTCTTTTTCATCCCTGCCCCGTCACACGCTGCTTACTATGGCTTACTACAGGGGTCAGCAGACTTTTTTAGCAGGGGGCACCACGGTCCACTGTCCCTCAGACCTTGTGGGGGGCAGGACTATATTTGGGGGGGTGAACGAATTCCTATGCCCCACAAATAACCCAGAGATGCATTTTTAATAATAGCACACATTCTACTCATGTAAAAACACACAGATTACCAGACTGTCCGCGGGCAGGATTTTGAAGGCGATTGGGCTGGATACGGCCCCTGGGCCTAAGTTTTCCAACCCATGGCTTAGTTCTTGGTCTCTAAAAGCTCAGAGAAGTAGCCACGTATTGACTTGGTGTATAAATGTCAACAAGTGCCAGAAAAATTTCAGTGGGTAGAAAATTCCAAAAATGGGGCATCATGGCAGAAAAGTTCCATTAGCGAATCACTGCCAAATATATAGATCTTAACTTCCAGGCAGGAACATGAAGAGAAAGAAGAACTCCTCCAAGTGTTTAAGAAATTCAGTAATTTATACATCTGTAGAATTCAGATGAAAATGTCTAGTTAAAATCAGTGGGACTCTGCCTATCTTTCTGAATATAAGCCTTTATATTTTGCAATGCTTAGCAAGGTTTTGTTGTTGTTGTTGTTGTGTCTGTGTGTACCCTACATGGAGTAAGTTAGGTGTTATTGACTATTGCCTTCTATTGATCATGATGTTTATTTTATACTGGCATTGTTGATGTACAGGGGGAAAGGCTAGGGGAAACAAGAAGCCAACGCTGGCCCACCCAACTCACAAGCTGAGGTGACTGCCTCAGGTGGCGGAATCCATGAAGGCAGCAGATCCAGCCTCTAAGGATCCAGCCTATGTTATGACCAATAGGTCCTTTTCATCTGTTTAGGTGTTTAGCATAAATGAGACCAGTAGTACACTCTAGGAAAGCTCAAGTAAACCTCAGACAACCAACGCTGGATTTTCTCTGTAACATTGCTTTATTGATTAATAAGCATGACAAGACAGGGAACATGCACTCAATCACACAAACATCCATACTGTCAGAGGCTTAATGCTGTCCAGCTGGCATAGATAAGACTCCGGGCTCCCAGCCAGTTCCAAACTATTTGATTTATTTGACAAAGTTCAAAAGTACATCTCCAGCGTTTCAATTAGCGTCCGTCCCCTTGTTGCACAGTTGCCGCGTCTACTCTTTTTTTTTTTTTTTTTTTCCTTTTCCGTACCTAGCATGCAAGTCTGCGGAAACCCCTCCCCTGACTTCCTCTGTGTACAGAATGACTTGTTCCCGGCTCATCCTCCTCCCTCTCTACGTCAGACTCACTGTCAGACGACAGGCTGCTAATGATCTCTTTCGGCTCTCTATAATTGCTGGGTTCTGTTCTTTCATCTTTTCCCGTTTGCCTCTCCCTGACACATATATCTCCCATACTCACCACTCTACACTGGATTGATCAGACCCAGTAAGAAACACGAGTGACCAGATGACAGCTGTCAATGTCTGGCACACAACTGAGGCTGTAAGGCTTTACCATTTATACACCTTGGTCTTCCATTACACAACTCCTTACTCCTTGTTCTTGGCATGTTTTAGGCATCTCACATCCTTGTCCTCAGCATCATCTTACAACTCTTATCTTATCTAAACATTGTGTAAAGTTCTACAGCCCACCTCCAAGCCTCCTTGCACGTACCGTTCCCGGCACACACTGTTTTTGCCAAAACATTATGATGTTTTCCACATTCCATTAGTGCTTATGCAACACAGTTCGTGATCATTTCAAAGGCATTGCATCCATTTTGTGATGTTCTTCAGCCATCTTTTCGGCCCATGCAAACTATACCATTTGCTACACCTGCTGGTGCTGTAGTGGCAGCAATGGTGGCAAGGTGTATTGAAGGATCTCGACCATAACCTGTTGAAGGATCTCAGCCATAACCTGTTGAATATTGCAGAGCATACACAGACTGTCCAGAAGCAGTCGGTTGCTAGCTGGCAGGATGAAGCAGGAACAAGACGCTGCTACTAGTAACTTGGTTACTTATAGGTTTATTATTTACAGCAGACTCACAAGTTACTATATACAGGATACTGTTGGAAAACTGGCCCCCTCGGGAGAGGCTGGCCCCTCTCCCAGGCTCCTGGGGCCTGTTTACCAGTGATCTTCCCTGGCTGGCATCCCAGCAGTCCAGGGAGATCTTGATAGGCAACACCTCCCTGATGAAAGGTGCATACCCCCTTCCCTCTTGCATAGCAGCAGGAGAAAGAAGATAGTCAGAAAGTCTGCTACATCTCTACAGTTTATTTCTGACTGTACAACTGTACAAAAACATGTCCGTTCACTCAGACTTCTCCCGAGCAACTGACTCAGACTTCCTTCACACAAGCAACAGGAAGGTCTCATGTTACACAAAGAACAGATCTCTGAGAAATCCCTGGAGCTTCCTGTCCCACGGTTAGCTCCATCATGTGATGTAAACATCCAGCTGCTTGTTCGCAGCTGCGTAGTAGTCATATCCCAACAGATACAGACATGGATCTTAACTCTTTCTGAACAAACTCCAACTAACTCTCAGAACAACATTGACCAACCAGCCACTAACCAACAGGAAGGTCATGAGTCATCATGCCTATGTGAGTGGCCTCGTCCAATAGCAGAGTTGTATCCAAGGTCCCATATCTCTAGGCAGAATAACTCCCTCTGCTCAGTCTTCTTGGTCTTCGGCCAACTCCTTAATTGCTTTTGTGGGAAGCTGCATCAGATAGCACATAGGCAAAAATCCCAACAGGGTGCTCCTTGGAAGACAGAGGGAAGATTTGTGACAAGCCCATAGTTATCAAGTTATCAAGCTTTCAGTCCAGTGTAGGTTTATTGAGCAGCAGCTTTCAAAGCTTTTGTGCTTTAGGTGCTGCTGGCTAAAGCCAGAATATATGAACAAGCTTATCCACTGGGATGATGCCAGGATGCTTTCTGTGGGTGGTCCAAGGACAATTTTCATTCCTTTTTTTTTCTTCCAGAGACACTGCCTGATGAGGAGGAATCTTACTATGGTGAACGGGCTGTTGGGTTCCTGTGTGTCCTCATGCTTTCTATCTCAACTGTGCTGCTTGTCCTGTGTAAGTTCCTACTCTTCTAGCAAAGAAAGCCCATCAGATGTGATAAGGATAGCCTTCCTTCAATATGAAGAACCCTTTCAAAAAGAGGGGAGGCACAACCCGACCTCCATTAAGTCCTTGTACTCCCCATTGATTTGATTCAATCTAAGTGGGGGAAAAACCCCACCAGCTAAGCTCTGCACCAAGAGGTAGCTGATGCCCCAAGTTCAGTGGTACCTCGCAAGACAAATGCCTTGCAAGACGGAAAACTCGCAAGAAGAAAGAGTTTTCCGTTTTTCGAGGTGCTTCGCCAGACGAATTTCCCTATGGGCTTGCTTCGCAAGAAGAAAGCCCATAGGGAAATCTCCGGGGACCTCTTTTAAAATGCTGGCGGTTGGGAGCAAAGACTTTTGCCCCCCGCCGGCCTTCAGAAGAGGTCTCCGCTGTCCCAGGGGCTTTTAAAATGCTGGCGGTCGGCAGCATAGCCCTCCTGTCCCCGGAGGTTGCGGGGCGGGAGGTGGGGAGAAGGGCTTTTCTTCCCACCGCCAGCCTTCAGAACAGCCTTCTGAAGGCTGGCGGTGGGAAGAAAAGCCCTTGTCCCCCCCCCCAGCCTTCAGAAGAGGTCGGGGGACAGACTGTCCCCAGACCTGGTCTGAAAGCGGTTTCCATAGGAACGCATTGATTGATTTTCACTGCATTCCTATGGGAAACCGTGCTTCGCAAGACAAAAAAACTCGCAAGAAGAAAAAACTCGCGGAACGAATTAATTTCGTCTTGCGAGGTACCACTGTACAGATTGCCACATTCCACATGCGCTCCAGTGCACTGTCTCCTTTCGTATGGCATCGCCTGTTCCAGGGCTGAGCAATGGCATTAGAAATTGTGTCCTTGTGACCATTGCAGAGGGAGACAGGTGTGTGCTATGCTCAGAATGACCATCTCACTAGGTATAAGCATGTTGTGTCTAAACAGTACTCCTTTTCTACCTTCCTTGGTATTAGATTATTTGGAATCACAAGAAGTAGCAGCAAAGATCAATGCTATGCATAGGATTCGGGAATTCATGGTCAGTCGAAATCAGTCCTTTGAACACATGAATGGTAAGTAATGAGTGGCAGTGTTGATGCTCAAGTCCTTTCCCTCTCTCCCACACTCGTCCTTATCCCATACCTGAAGGAGGGCTTACAGTCATGTAAAGAGGGAGTGTTTTATTGGCCCACCTGTCTTCCAATGCCTCTCCTCTGAGAATATCCTTCTATTCATTAACAATATTCAGCAGTTGTGGTAACCCCATATGGAACCCAAGATTCCCCTTTCAGTTTTGGAGGGCAGTTAGGAGCAGGTCATTTTCCTCACTTGCTCCAGAGGCAGGGCTATCAAATGACTTTGGGCTCAGTACCTTTAAATGCCAGTCTATAGTTAGAGGCCAATTCGTTCCATTTCCTCTGCAAAACCCTCCCATTAACCTAGATATACAAACGAACAACAGAATGTAAATGGGCAGCCAACTCTGCATTGCCAGCCAGAGACGGCACAAGCGTTAACGGCAGACTTTCTTTCTCTTGTTATTGGAGCTGTCCAAGGTCCTACAACTCCACCCAGACCAAGACATAATGTAACTTGTGAGGCTCTGTCTGTTGTCTGAATTGGACAGCTCTCCAGGGAGGGTGTACAGTCATACCTTGGGTTATAGGTGCTTCGGGTTGCGCACCGCGCCAAACCCAGAAGTACCGGAATGGGTTACTTCCAGGTTTCAGCACTTGTGCACGTGCAGAAGCGCTAAATCACACTTTGCACATGCGCAGAAGTGCTGAATCACAACCCCGCGTATGCAGACACGGCGCTGCAGGTTGCGAATGCTGCAGGTTGCGAATGTGCCTCCTGCATGGATCACGTTCGCAACCCGAGCGTCCACTGTACAGTGTACTGCTTTGCCATTTTTTAAAACATGACGTTCCTAGATTACTCCAAGCCTGGAAGACTGGGTTTCCCATGGATGATAATTCTCTTCAGTAGATGAATCACCCAAGAATTGTCTCCTTGCCACAGTATAAGAGGTTAGGGTTAGGGTTGACTTCAGGAGCCAACTATTAGGATAGATTAAGGTCGGGGGGTGACCTTCTGTCTAATCTTCTTCAGGCAGGGGTTAGTTATATGCCCACTTATTTGTGTTTACGGGAACAGAAGGTAATGGTTTCTTGAACTGCAAGAAATATTCCATAATTCCTTTTTTTCATTCAGCTGCAATTGTGTCCTGAAACCAGGGGAGAGTTCTCCTACTGGCTCGGACCAAGCCCAAAGTCATTTGCATAGCCCTGCTTCTGAGGCAAGTGGGAGGAGCAAGCCATTCCTGGGTAACTTCCATCTATTGAAGAGAAAGGAAGTTCGCAGTAAGTCCAACATACCTTTTTGCCAAAGAATCTGATAAAGTTTAGTCCTGAGGAATTGCAGCAGAAGTTCGCTAGCTGATTCCCCTTTCTTTGGTCCATTTTGTTTGAACTCATCAAAACTTCTCACACAGAGCATTGCAATGTGCTCTATGTGAGGCTGCCCTTGGAAGAAACTTCAACTGGTCCAAAATTTAGTGGCCAGTTACTGGGCAGGGTTCCTCTTAGATCTTAGATAGTCCATTTTTAATTATTGCTGGCTTTTTAAAAGTGACATGGAGGGAAGTGTGTGTTTGTGTAAGGAAGGGCTAGAATTGCTAATAAACAGTTTAAACTTCAATTCAGTGATGCATTTATACTTTTTCTCTCTTACTTGGGAGGAAATCCCATTGCATCTGGAAGATCTATAGCAGGGGTCATCAACCTGGTCCCTACCGCCCACTAGTGGGCATTTCAGGATTCTAGGTGGACAGTAGGGGGTTCTATGGCACAAGCTGAATCCTCCTTCCATCGAGCAATGGCGGGCAGTAAGGAAATTTTACCATCAAGAAAGATGCATTAGTGGGTGGTAGATATAAAAAGGTTGACTACCCCTGATCTATAGGAGCATAGCTGTAGTCACTGCAAGGTGATCTCTAGGGTTTGGGGCAGAGTTGTGGGAGGAGAGCTTCGCCAAGTTGAGTTGCGGGTGGGGGACCAGGGATAGATATAACTAACGTGTATGTGCCCTTCATACACTGGGCAATCTGCACACAGAATCATTGCACCCTTTGCAGGATCATGTCCATAAGACCATTTCCCGTACACAATCATGGGGGTTGAGACAAAGGGACACTGATATAATGGCATAGACTAACCAGGATCCCTCCCTCTTGGTGATCCCTGCTGCAGAGAATCAGGACTGCTTCCATCAGCATAACCCTGGGATCTACTTCTTGTCTTATGCCAGAGCGCAACAGAATGTAACGCAATTACCGTAATTTTCTGATCCTAAGGTGATATTATTTCTGTAGAAATAATTGGCTAAAAACTGTGTGTCTTCTTATACATGGAAAGCTGGATGGGTGAATGGGCGATTTGGCATGTATTTGGTTGCTGCGGCAAGGCCTGCTGATGATTGGCTGTGGCTGCAGCAATTGGGCATTTGATTTGTGGCATGCGTGCCATCTGCTGTGGTTTCATTGAGTGTGCAGGTGGGCATCCCACCCCCAATAAAACTCAACAACTCTGGGCAGTCTCCCCCTCCAAAATTTTATTTTTTCGTCCCAAAAATAGGGGTCGTCTTATACATGGGGCGTGTTATACACGGAAAAATACAGGTGTGTGTGTGTGTGTGTGTGGTGTGTGTGTGTTTGAGATCTCCCTGACTTGATCTGCTACAACTCTTTAGATTCAGCAATACTCAATGAAGCTCAGAAGTTACTGCAGGAAGTGGTCAAGATAGATTCTAAAATTTTTGAATTACAGCTATCAATTGGTAAAGTTACTCTATGCGACTGTGATGCAAACAAATCAGAGCACAAGGAGAACCTCGCCCAGCTGAATCTGTACCTCCTGAAAGTCCCACAGCCTGCTGAACATGGTGGTGGTCCCTCTTTGCATCTGGCCACTCTTGGACCTCAACCGTGTCCCTTCCCATGTAGTCCAAACACATGGAGCAAAACTCCCATCAGCCTCAGCCAGCACAGGAGCTTACCAGGCTGGGGAATGGGTGCCCTATTAAATAAATAAATAAATCTTATTTATATCCCGCCCTCCCCAGCCAAAGCCGGGCTCAGAGCAGCTAACATCATACAAGTAAGACAATGCATAAAAACAAGCAATCAATAAATTGAGATACATCCCACAATTAATTCAAACAAACTGGACAAGTGGCAATCTTCAGTTTAAAATTGAAGGTGGTTACCAACTGTTTCCACTGTATATTATAAGACCTGTGAGCGGGCTGGGAACCTCCTTCGTGCTTGTTCTTATACAAGGAGAAAATGAGTCAGACTGAACCCTGGCCAAAGGTCTGGCAGAACAGCTCCGTCTTGCAGGCCCTGCGAAAAGATGTCAAATCTCACAGGGCCCTAGTCTCTTGTGACAGAGCGTTCCACCAGAAGGAACGCTCAGAGGATGTATAGGGTGCGATCTCATCAATGGCCGCCAAGCTCAGTCAATGAGTCGCCAGGGGGAGCAGGGTCCTGCAAGGCCTGACGGAATCCATCAGGGTCCATCAGTCTCTGCGGCGAGCCCAAATAGGCTTGCCACCTAAGCAGGTGGGGGCGATAAAGTGTCATTCCTGGCTTTCAGGGCGTAGTGATCAGACCATGCACCTCCATCTGAGGGGACATGATCATATCTACGCCTGCACCAAAGATTCAAATCCAGCGTGAGTCCTGCTTGATGTGTGGGGCCCAAAACAAACTGGGAGAGCCCTAGAACCTCAAGCTGGTTGTGAGATTCAAAGACAATAATGTTGCTCCTCTTCCTCACCAGCTCTAAACAACTGGTGCAGGATAGGAGCCAACTTCCGGGGGCTAAGGTCCCTTTGCCCCCCTCCCAACTGTGTCTGTGACAGCGTTTCCTAATTAGATGTAAACAATAAATCTATAATGTTTTGCCCAGGTTTGATTCCTGTTTTGAGACATCACAAATGTTCTTGGGGATGTGCTGGAATGTTGCAGGGTTGGATTAACAGTCAAAAACTCTGTCTTGTATCATATGGCACTTAATGAAATACATGTACTTCTGAGGTGCATATTAAAATCTGCAGAGATCTAAAAGCTGGTTGCCTAATGTCTGCCCTTCTTGTTCTCGTGGGTTCCTTTTATCGATCTGGCACATTGGCTCAAAGACGCTTTCATTGAAAGGATATCCACTGGGTGGAAGCAACATGATGGCCACCTCTATTACCTCGACGCTTATGAAACGGCATTTTTTTATGCCCGAAGGGCATGTAATAACAGGAATGCTATTTGACTCCCATCACCCACTGCTAGCGAGGAGGTAAGCCTAACAATGGGGTGCTAGAAGGCAAATGCATTCACATCACAATGATTTTACAACCTGACCCTTGAGTGAAGTGGGGGCCCAAAACACCCTTCCATGTCGCTGAGGAGGACCATAGAGAGGGGACCAACTGGATGGTACTATTTGACAGAAGCCAAGCAGAGTAGCTCCTCTGCTGGGTTATATTCGCACTTATGTTTTGTGCTTCTGAGTGCTTTTATGATGCCTTAGCATGGTGGTGCTTTACTTGGAAGCCACCTTGTTTTGTTTTGTTTTGTTTTAATCTTTCATATTTGATTTTACAGATATAAATTTATAACAAAACCAAACACATATCCATATAGAGAGATTTCTCTGGATCTCAAGACTTCCCCCCCCCCATCCTCTCCTATTGTCAACATTTTCAACTGCATATTATTTCCTAGTCTATATTTTATATCTATCCATATTGTCCATTGTATTTGTTACACTACAAGCGAGATTAAAATCCTGCTAATCTTTTCATCTGCTTGCATGGTCTCCTAAATAAATTCCTAAATAATTTTTTCCCATACTTCCTTGAAGTTTTTCTCTTCTTAGTTCCTGAGCTTTCTGGTCAATTTTTTTCAGCGTAGTCTTGGTTTCCTATTCTCTGGTAGAGACACTTTCTTCTTTCCATCTCTGGGCTAGTAGCATCCGTGCTGCTGCTGTTGTCTCATACATGAAGAGCCTTTTCTGTTCCTTTGGGATGTCAGTACCTACAATCCCTAATAAGAAGGCTTCTGAGTTGCCCCAGCAAATCCGTTCCACTTCCCTGTGGGGAGGAGTTGCGGTGGACCGCGCAGCCACCCACTCTCCTCCAGGGACAGGGGACGAAGTCCCGCCTTACCCAGGGGATCCTCGTCATGTCATCGACCAGCCGGCCAATCCGGCAGCTGGTGGGGGCGTGGCTGGGAACATTTAAAATCAGGCGCGAACCAGAGGGCTTTCTCTTGGCTCGCTTCTTCAAACTCCCTCCCTCCCTGTTTTACAGGTTTTTCTTCAATGGCCTTGCTATGACACCTAATATCTGTGTCATGGTGTCTGTTATTCCATAGCAGGGGGTGGTTGTGGGGTCTTGACACGCAAGTAAAACCTTTGTGTATGTCACGTTCAGGGAAATGGCGGTTGGCTGCACTTGTGTCACTTGCTCCTATTGGCTGCTGTTGCTCGTGACATCACTGCAAGGCCTGTTGCAGATCTGTGCACTGCCTACCCAAACTGCAATGAGTGGGCTGCCATGTTTCCCCTTACTTACCCTGTGTCCCCTCCCACCTTCTTCAGAGGCCATCTACTCCACCTTTCCCAAGCCCAGGTGCATCTTAGTAGTCCCTTCCTGAATCAAGGCTTGAACTTCCATCACTCCACCTTTTGTGTCTGGGTGGAGATCTCTGACAATGTGACCAGTGAAGCACTATAGAACCATAGAATTGTAGAATCGGGAGGGACCAACAAGGCTCATCTAGTCCAACCCCATGCAATGCAGGAAACTTGACCAATGTGGGGCTAGCCATCAAATACATCTTCTAGAAAGGCTTTCAGCTAAGGATTAACTAGCCCTTTAATTCCAGTTAGGGATGGGTGAATCTGTCAATGGTGAGTTCTCCCTGTTTCTTTTTTCCTGTCTTAAGTTCAGATCGCCAAATTTCCGCATCAGATTGCATTTTCCTTCTAAGCCCCCATGAAAATTCATCTGCATTCTAATGCAAATTTCTCCATTATTTTTGTATGAAATTTTCCCTAATATGCACATTTTGGAAGAGCAGTGCTCGCTAATAGAGTGCATTTATGCTAATGAAGGCATGCTTATGCACAGTTTATCCAAGAATCTGCATTTTTTGTACACAGTACTCAGCTGCAGAAGTTGCATTGCGAAATTAATTGAGCTTCAAATTTCAAAGAGTGGCTGTGTTTTGATTGATGTGTTGTATCAGAAACTGCGAATCAGATTGATTTGCCTTTAAATGTGAACTCAGTTGAATTTCCCCCTTACCCCTTATTCCAGGTGAAGACACTCTATTTCTGTCTTGCAGACTTTTGTGGAATCACTGTCCAAGGCATCCAGACAAAGTGTATGGATTGGACTCTTAAAAGATGACAAAAGCTGGAAGTGGATTGATGGTAAGACGCCATTCAAAACCAGGTGGGTCCATGAAAAAGCTTCTCTGCAACCTTTTATTGTATAGACTTTCTCAAAAATAACGTTACTAAGAGCTCTTCCAGACTGTCACTATTTTCGGGTGGCATTCAATTGACAAATTCAGGTTGTGCAATTCAACCTGTTTCTCCTCGAAATGGACTTCTGTGATAAGGAAAGTGTTTGATAATGCTTGCTTGCGGTAACATAGAATCATAGAATTGTAGAGTTGGAAGGGACCCTGAGGGTCATCTAGTCCAACCCCCTAACATCCCTGACAGATGGCCATCCAGCCTCTGCTTAACACCTCCAAGGAAGTAGACAATCTCCCAAGGGAGACAGTTCCACTGTTGAACCGCTCTTCCAGAAAGTTCTTCTTGATGTTGAGCTGCAATCTCTTGTAACTTGAATCCATTGGTTCAAATTCAAATTCTCAAACCATCTACTTAGTGTGAGAAGTCTGCTTCTTCTTTAGTGCTAAGAGTCTGCACACTGCACAGAGCTTTTTTTTTTCCCCATAGCAAAAGTAGAGCGCCATTCTGGATTGATTTGTATTGCCTCTTCTTTTCAGCTTTTGGGAGCCAGGTCAGCCAGACTCGTGGAGTCCCTTAAGGGAAGATTGTGTTGAAATTCGAATGAATTGTGCAACCCCAGGAAACTGTTGGAACAATGTTAGCTGCGATGAGAGAAAAGCTTGCAGTTTGTAGGGTGAGTCCAGATGAAAGGTGGATGACGTAAGTCGTAAGTGCTGCTCTCCCTGATCTACAGGCAAAAGGGGGGGGAAATGGACAGGGCGCCATTTTCGCTGCAAGTCAGCTTACCACCTTATGAAAACGGTGCATGAAAAAACTCCACTCCTAGTTAATCCTGCTTCCTCAAGGCTGGAAAAATAGAACTTATTTTGAACCCCACAAAGATGGACACCAAAAAAATAATGCATGAATTACTTCAGTCATATCCCACTCTCCATGACAACAAATCAGAGTGAGTATTCATGAACATTCCCCTTCCCTGGATTTTGACTTTTCCTTCAGATATGGCGAATCCATGCATTAAAAGTTGTGAAAAAGCAATGCTTTGTTGTTGGCATTGATTATGGCAGCCCTACAGGGGCTGAACAAAATACAGTGGTACCTCGGGTACGCTTCAGGTTACATACACTTCAGGTTACAGACTCCGCTAAACCAGAAATAGTACCTCGGGTTAAGAAACTTTGCTTCAGGATGAGAACAGAAATCATGCTGCAGCAGTGCGGCGGCAGCGGGAGGCCCCATTAGGTAAAGTGGTGCTTCAGGTTAAGAACACTTTCAGGTTAAGAATGGACCTCCAGAACGAATTAAGTTCTTAACCAGAGGTACTACTGTATCTGCAATGCATTTGCAACAAATATACTGCTCTGAATTGCAGTCTCCTTTCTGCTTTTTCATACAGGATTAATTAAGATTGCTTACTTGGTGGTAAAGATCTGCTATAATTTTGGAGTCAGAGATATAATCTTGGAGTCAATGATATTTTAAACAAGCCAATCAGAAATGGTTTTGAACTTAGGAGACAATCTTAACCAGAAATGTGACCTGTTTTAATCAGAGGTTGGGGCTAAACTATAAATCATATTCATGCTTACTTGTGTTAGATTCAGTTAGATGCAAATTCTGGTCCTTGGTACACTATGAATCAGCTGTTTTAAAGGCCATGAATAGTGGGTTTACTTTGATTACACTGAAGAGGTGATAATGGCACTGTCCCATGTTTAATGCAACATTGTTAGATGTCCTTTCTCTTTTGTATTAAAACATTCACCTAGTCTTGAGCAGAAATAAAAGGTTCAAAGCTTGTCAGCATCAGTTTTATAGATAGCCATTGAAAAAAATAATAAT